TGGCAGTTGTAGCTGAAGGACTTCTTGCAGCCATTATAAGAATCACCAGGCTGGGTCCATCCACAGCAATAGTTACTAATAAGCTGAGACCTGCACAAAACAGGTAAAAGGGTAGGGAGAGTCCCAGGCCCTCCAATACCACTAAATAGGGAAGTGGAGTAGCCTGCCAGGAAGCCCCACCCCCGCCTCAGCCTCCTCCCACCCTGCCCTGGTGTACCTGACAGTCATTGGTCCACCCTCCTAGTACCCAGCCAGCTGACCACCCTTCGAAAAAGCCAGGAAATAGAAACTTTGGAGACATCTAAACAACTTGGGAAGGGTGAGTCCAGAATGCTGTCCAGCATCTGGACCACAGCTGCTCCATCTCACACTATGAGCCACAATCCCCAGCCCTTCTTCCCTGATGGCTACACCGGCATCCCCAACCTATGAGAAGTTCAAGGAGGAGCTCAAAGTGGCCATACTCAGGAGACCCCAGAGCTCAGCTCCTGTGGGGACCACCATGGTCAACATCCGCAGTGAGACCTCCATGCCCAACCTCATAGTCTGGTCCCTGTTCAACCTGCCTGTGCTTTGTGGCTTTCACCCATCCTATGAAATCTAGGGACTGGAAGATAGGAGGAGACACGATAGTGGCCCAGGCCTATGCCTCCACTGCCAAGTGCCTGAACATCTGAGCCCTGGTCTCGGACCTCCTTCTGATTGTTACCTTCATTTTATTTTCACCACGGGTTCATGAGGGATTTTTGAAGCAATTTCAGAGATCTTAAAAGGTTATGGGAGCTACTGGTAACTGTCCATAGCCTGAGGCTGTCACTCCTTTCACTGAATTTTATGTACACATCAGTCTATAGTTGAATTCAATAAAGCACTTGTGTGTGGGAAAAAGAATAAAATAACATATTGCATCAATATCACACTTCCAAGCAGTTTATGTATCAGTGCACTTCTCCCCCTCACAACGCTCTGTTAAACTCCTATTTTTTTCCCAATCTAATAGTCATAATAGTATCTTCTTATGATCTTAATTCATATTTTCTAGATTAATTTTTTTATGTTTATTGACCACTCATACTGCTTCTTCTATTAACTAGTCTTTTGTCCATTTTCCTCTCGGTCTGTTTATTTTCTTATTGAGTTCTTTATGTAGTATCAATACTAATCCTTTGTTGCTTCTGGGTTGCTTACACCTTTTCCCAGCTCCTGACTTGTCTTTTCACTTTATGGAGTCTCTGAGAAAGAAAAGTTTATAATTTTATGTCAACATCTAATAAAATCCCTGAAAATTCTTCTCTAGGAATGTCATGCCCACTCCTAACCTTTCTATTTTCATAAAGTTTTTTAGAATTAGAACTCTGTTGAGATTTTGATTGAAATTCCAGACATCAACATATGAAGAACTGACATCCATATATATCAAATAATTCAATTCATGAACATGGTACATTTTCCACTAAAGTTTTTTTTTAATATCTTCCAAAAGATAAAGTTCTCTAAAACTTTTACTTATTTTACTAGACTTATTCCCATGTCTATTATGTGGGATTTTAAAATTGTGTATTTTAATTTTTTCATTGTTGATATACAGAAACACAATTAATTTTTGTATATTGATCTTACACCAATACATTTTATTGATCTTTTATTATTACTATCAATATATCTGTAGACACTTTGGAATTTTTCCATGTAGACATCATGATAATGTTTTACTTCCAAACCACATAGAAATTCTTCTTGCCTTACAGCTGAGGGCCTCTAATACCAGGCTGATAGAAGAAGTGATAATAAACATCTTTTCTCATTAATGGTTTTGAAGGCAGTGCTTCTAATGTTTCACAATTAAGAATCATGTTTGCTATTAAGTGTTTGACCAATATCCTTTATCAAGTTAAGTGAGCTCCCTCTTATTTCTGGTTCACTAAGAGGATACTTTTTTTCCCTAAATAGATGTAAACACTTATTTTCTATGTCTACTGAAATGATTATATGTACTTTCCCCTTTACTGAGTTAGGATGAGTGAATTCAATTTATAGATATTCTAATGTTACACTATCCTATATCCTTGGGATAAAGCCTGGTTGTGATATATTTGTTTAGGAATTTTTGTGTTTTTGTTCTTAAGACTAGCTTGAAATTTTCCTTTCTTGTACCTTTGTTTGCTTGTGAGATCAAGGTTATTACTGTCCGACAGAATAAGTTTCATAAATAGTCTCTAACTTTCTAATCTTTAAGAGAATTTGTGAAACATCAGAATAATCCACCCTTTTACATTTTAATAGAACTTACCTGGAAAACCAGCAAGCTAAAGTGTTTTCTTTATAAGTTTTAGTCCCTGATTCAAATTTTGAATCATTATAAATGGTTCTGAATTTCTCTTTCTTCCTGAGTCAATGTGGTAACTTAAGTTTTTCTAAAGATCCACTATTTCACCTTACATTTTTAAAGATTTTATTTATTCATGACAGACACAGAGAGGGGCAGAGATGTAGGCAGAGGGAGGACAAGCAGGCTCCATGCAGGAGCCTGAGGCGGGACTCAATCCCCGAACTCCGGGATCATGTCTCGAGCAGAAGGCAGGCGCTCAACCGCTGAGCCCCCCATGCATCCCCAAAATATTTCATCTTAGTTTTCAAATATATTGGCAAAAGCAATATTTATCATATTCTGTGATAGTATCTTCTGTATATGTTATTAGGTCTCTTTTTTTATTCTTAATATTTTTTGCATTTTAGCTCTTTTCCTTGAGACATCTGGCCAAAAAAATTGTTTTATTTATATTTTAGGATACATTTGGCTTTTTTGAAATTTTCTATTGTTTTATTGTGTTCTAGTTCATTCACAGTCGTATTTTTACTTTTATCTCCTTCCTTCAAATTTGTTTTTCTTTCTACTTCTTCATGTTATTTTATTCCTTGTCTTATCTAAGTTAAATACTTAAATCATTTATTTTTATACTTTATCTTTTTCTAATATAAGCATTTAAGGCTATAAATTTCTTTTTTTATTTTTTATTTATTTTATTTTATTTTTTTAGGCTATAAATTTCTTTCAAAGTATTATTTTCATGGCTTTCCACAAGTTTGCTATGTAATATTTTTATTATATTTTGGAACAAAATATATTCAAATAAATGTGTTATAATATTTTATTTAACTCATGATATAATTAGAAGTGTGGTTATTAATTTCTTAATGAGGAATTTTTAATTTACCTTTTTGTTACTAACTTCTGGCTTAATTACATTATGGTGATGGAAAGTGATCTGTATAACCCCAGGTCTTTGAAATTTGTTGCAATCTGTTTCATAGCCTAAATGGTCAGTAATTTGCTCTGTTGCATTTTTTTTATCCTTTAAATGTGCTACAAAGAAATATGTATTCTTTAATTGATGAATGCAGTGTCCATCTCTTATTGTTTGTAATCCATTGTTTCTGTTATATCAATTATATTCATTAAATCAAGCTTGTAATTTTGCTAGTAAGATCATACCCACACACACACACACACACACACACACACACACACACACTGATTTTTTTTTTTTTTTTGGCTGACATATTCATTCCTGAGAGACTTGTGTTAAAATCTTCCTCTATGATATCAGGTTTCTCTATTTTCACCTACATTTTGCTTTATACATTTTAAAGCTGTTTTATTGAGTGCATACATGTTTGAAATTATTATATCTTCCTGGTGAGCTAAGGCAACTTTTCATTGCACAATAATCATTTCTATCCCAAATAATTCCTATATATTTAAGTGTGTTTTGTTTGCTATCTGTATAGGCTCTCCTGATTTCTCTAGGTTAATATTGGTTTAGTCTATTTTTATATCTTTTACTCTCATTTTTCATGTTCATAAATTTTGGATGTATCTTTTATAAAAGCATATAGCAGAATTTAGTTTTTAAAATACAGTCTGTCTCTTTTAACTGACATCAGTCCCTTCACTTATTTTCACAGCTTTGTGAGGTATGATGACACTCAGTAAACTACACATATTTAAAGTGCACAATTTAACAATGTATATACCCATTAAGCCATCATCCCAATAAAGCTAATGAACAAATCCATCACCTCCTCAAATTCTCTCATGTCTATTTATAATCACTTTCTCTCACCCTTTACTGTCCTACCATCACCACACAACCACTGATCTTTCTGTCACTTTATGGAGTAAAGTATTTGCATTTCCTAGAATTTGCATTTCCTAGAATTTTACACAAATGAAATCATATGATGTAGACTCTTTTCTTCTGGCTTATTTTATTCAGCATAAATTATTTTGAGCCCCCATCAATATTGTTGTGTGTATTGAAAGTTCATCCCTTCTTATTGCTGAGTTGTGTTTTATTGTATAGATAAAGCAAAAATCTGTTTATCCATTCACCTGTTGATGAACATTTTTGTTGTTTCCAGGTTTGGTCTATTACAAGTAAGGCTAATATGAACATAAATATATGAATGTGGATATGTACTTTCTTTTCTGTAGGAATGGAATAGTTAGATTATACAGCAAGTGTATGTTTAACTTTTTAAGAAACTGCTAGGGGCAACTGGGTGCCTCAGTAGTTTGCCTTTGACTCAGGTCATGATCCTGGGATCCTGGGGTCGAGTCCCACATCAGTCTTCCTATGGGGAGCCTGCTTCTCCCTCTGCCTATGTCTCCGCCTCTCTGTGTGTCTCTCATGAATAAATAAATAAAATCTTTTTTTAAAAAAACTGCCAAACTTTTCTAAAGTAGTTGAACTATTTTGTATTTCCACCTGAAGTATGAGAGTCTGATTCCTCCACAGCCCTCACCAGTACTTGGTAAATTCAGCCTTTTCATTTTAACCTCTCTATCTATGTATAGCCCTATATCATATGGGAACTTGTATTTCCCTAATGAATAATGATGTTCAGTGTGTTTTCATGTGCTTAGTTGCCATCTGTATAACCTATGGTGAAGAGTGTGTTAAAAATCTTTACCTTATTCAAGAAAAAATTTGTTCAGACATGGGAGAGCATGAATACAGTCCACCACAACTACAAATTATGCAGTCAAGCGTCTGTATTTGGGGAAATCAGAGGGTTCAACATACTCTAAGTGCAAGGGATAAGCCACGCCCTAGAAAAACCATTTTCATGATCATGTTATCACCCCTCAGTTCATTTGTAATTGGATTCTTTCTCCTCTTATTACTGAGTTTTCAGAATTCTTTACATATTCTAGATATAAGTACTTAACTCTTAGATTACTTGCAAATAGTTTTCTCCTGGTCTGTGGCTGGGTTTTTTTTTTATTAACTTAGTGTCTTTTTCAGAGCAGAAACTCTATTATTGCTATGAAATCCAATTTATTAATTTTTTCTTTTATGAATTATGCTTTCAAAGTCGTATCTGGTAAATTTTTGCCTAACCCAAGGTCACAAAGGTTTACTCCCAGGTTTTCTTCTAAAATGTTTAGTTTTTAAGATTTACAATTTGGTCTATGCATGTGATATGAAAAATGGATCGAAGTTCTTTTTTGTGTGTTCAACTCTTCTGGCAGTTTTTGCTGAAATTACTCTGTAGAATTTCTTTTTGCATTTATAAAAGATTAGTTGTCCAAATATGCATAGGACTATTTCTGGACTCTGTTCTGTTCCATTGACCTACTTGTCTATCTTTTCACCAACAACACAAAATTTTGCTTACTGTAGCTATATAATAAGCATTGAAACGAGGCAGTGTTAATCCTCCAACTTTGTTCTTTTTTCCCCAAAGTTATTTTGCCAATTCGAAGTCCTTTGTATTTTCATATCAATTTTAGAATCAACTAGTCAGTTCCTACAAAACAGGCCCCTGGGATTTTGATTGGGATTGCATTGAATCTATAGATAATTTAAGGAGAATTAACATTGTAAAAACATCGTCTTTTGGTATAGAAATGCAGTATAGTCATTCATTTATTTAGGCCTCATTTTGGCAAAGCTTTGCAGTTTTCATATATTTACAGGCCTTTCATATATTTTGCCATATCCATCCCTAAGTAGTTCATATCTTTAAACTGATTGCTGTTAGTACATGGAAAACAACTGATTTGTTTTTATTGATCTGCAGTTGTTCATTGTGCTAAACTCACTTTATAGTGTTTTTGGAGATTCTATTGGACTTTTTACGTAGACGATCACATCTGCAAATAAAAAGTCTTATGTCTCTTTCCAATATGAAAGCCTTTTATTTCCTTGTCTTAAAGCACTTATAGAACTTCCAACCACAAGTTGAGTAAAAGTGATGAGAGTAAACATCCTAGTCTTGTTCCATCTTAGGAAAAGAGCACTCAATAGTTCACATCGTGATGTTAGCTGTATGGTTTTGTGAATGCCCTTTGTCAGATTGAGAAAGTTCTCTACTGTTCCTGGTTTTCTGAGAGCTTTTGTTACTAAAGGATGTTGGATTTTGTCACATGATTTTTCTGCATCTATTAGTTTACCATATGGGGTTTTTTCTTAATATGATAAATTACATTGTTTTTCTGATTTTTTGGTGTATTTTTTATTGATTTGATTTGCCAACATATAGTATAACACCCAATTATACTTTTTTGCATCTGTATCCCTCCAAGTGCCCCCTCAGTGCCCGTCACCCGGTCACCCCAAGCCCCCGCCCGCCTACCCTTACACTACCCTTGTTCATTTTCCAGAGTTCGGAGTCTCTCATGTTCTGTCTCCCTCATTGATATTTCCCACACATTTCTTCTCCCTTACCCCTCTATTCCCTTTCACTATTATTTATATTCCCCAAATGAATGAGAACATACACTGTTTGTCCTTCTCCGATTGACTTACTTCACTCAGCATAATACCCTCCAGTTCCATCCACGTTGAAGCAAATGGTGGGTATTTGTCGTTTCTAATGGCTGAGGAATATTGCGTTGTATACATAGACCACGTCTTCTTTATCCATTCATCTTTCGATGGACACTGAGGCTCCTTCCACAGTTTGGCTATTTTGGACATGCACTGTTGGTGGGAATGTGAACTGACACAGCCACTCTGGAAAACTGTGTGGAGGTTCCTCAAAGAGTTAAAAATAGACCTGCCCTATGACCCAGCAATTGCACTGCTGGGGATTTACCCCAAAGATACAGATGCAGTGAAAAGCCAAGACACCTGCACCCCGATGTTTTTCTGATCTTAAGCCATCTCTGCATTTCTGACTTAAATCCCACCATCATGTCGTACTCTCTTTTAAAAATATTGTTAGCTTCTTTTGGTTAAAATTCATTAGAATATTTGCACCTATGATAATGAAGTTTATTTTTCTATGATTTTCTTTTCTTTTAATGCTTTTGATTTGAGTATCATAGTAATACTGGCTTCTTAGAAGGAGTTGGGAAGTATTCCCTCCTTTTCAGTTTTTTGGAAAATGTTCATGTAGAATTGGCATTACTTCTTCCTTTAAATGTTTGGTAAAATTCACTACTGAAGATATCTAGGCCTGAACCATTTTTTTTTTTTTGGTGGGAAGATATTTAACTATAAATTCCATTTCTTTAATAAAGTCCTGTTCAGATATCTATGTCTTTTTGAATCAGCTCTGATAGTTTGTGACTTTTGAAGAATTTGTTCATTTTATCTAACTGGTCAAATATTATGTGGGAAACAAAGGCAGAAGAGAAATTATTAAATTTCCCTACTACCTGCAGCCCATTGACAAGTCCTGGAAACAGGCAGAGTGACATTCCTCTAGAAACCCAGCTGCTTCAATGTTGACACTTTGCTAAGGGCAAAAAGGCAATTTTAGCCCAAACTCCCAGGATTCTGTAAGTCTACTTTAACATATAAACATTCCTTTGGAAAATTCCTTTATCTTTTAATCACTCCCCTCCACAAGATACATGTTGACAATCATCCTCTAAGCATATGACCCACTGATAAACATCTGAAGGGTCTCATGACTGAGGGTTTACTAAATAAGTTATCTTTACCAACAATACTAGCCCCCTCAGGATCCTGGAAACCTTGTTGCCAAAATACCTGGGAGGCTTATGCTATTCCTAACCCCCTCCCAACTTGAAAGTATATAATGGGAAAAAAAATGGAAAAAAAAAAGAAAGTATATAATGGGCCCCTCATCATCATCAGGGTACAGCTCTTTCTGCCCACAGGTCCTGTCTGCATGTTTAATAAAACCCCCTTTTTGCACCAAAGATGTATCAAGAATTCTTTCTTGGTAAAGGGCTAGTTTCCAAGATCTATAAAGAACTTCTTAAACTCAACACCAAAGAAACAAACAATCCAATCATGAAATGGGCAAAAGACATGAACAGAAATCTCACAGAGGAAGACATCGACATGGCCAACATGCACATGAGAAAATGCTCCGCATCACTTGCCATCAGGGAAATACAAATCCCAACCACAATGAGATCCCACCTCACACCAGTGAGAATGGGGAAAATTAACAAGGCAGGAAACCACAGATGTTGGAGAGAATGTGGAGAAAGGGGAACCCTCTTGTACTGTTGGTGGGAATGTGAACTGGTGCAGCCACTCTGGAAAACTGTGTGGAGGTTCCTCAAAGAGTTAAAAATAGACCTGCCCTACGACCCAGCAATTTCACTGTTAGGGATTTACCCCAAAGATTCAGATGCAATGAAACGTCGGGACACCTGCACCCCGATGTTTCTAGCAGCAATGTCCACAATAGCCAAACTGTGGAAGGAGCCTCGGTGTCCATCGAAAGATGATGGATAAAGAAGATGTGGTCTATGTATACAATGGAATATTCCTCAGCCATTAGAAACGACAAATACCCACCATTTGCTTCAACGTGGATGGAACTGGAGGGTATTATGTTGAGTGAAGTAAGTCAATCGGAGAAGGACAAACATTATATGTTCTCATTCATTTGGGGAATATGAATAATAGTGAAAGGGAATAGAAGGGAAGGGAGAAGAAATGTGTGGGAAATATCAGAAAGGGAGACAGAACATGAAGACTCCTAACTCTGGGAAACGAACTAGGGGTGGTGGAAGGAGAGGAGGGCGGGGGGTGGGGGTGAATGGGTGACGGGCACTGAGATGGGCACTTGAGGGGATGAGCACTGGATGTTATTCTGATGTTGGCAAATTGAACACCAATAAAAAATAAATTTATTATTAAAAAAAAAGAATTCTTTCTTGGCCACTGGCTTCAAACCCTACCATCTTCCCTACATCAAAATATATTAGCAAAAAGTTGTTTCTAATTTGCCATAATTATCCTTTTAATATTTGTTTTTGTTTTTGTTTTTTTTTTTCATTTATTTATGATAGTCACACAGAGAGAGAGAGAGAGGGAGAGACACAGACAGAGGGAGAAGCAGGCTCCATGCACCAGGAGCCCAATGTGGGATTCAATCCCGGGTCTCCAGGATCGCGCCCTGGGCCAAAGGCAGGCGCCAAACCGCTGCGCCACCCAGGGATCCCTCCTTTTAATATTTGTAAATGATTTATGTGATGCCATCTTTCTCACTCCTGATATTTGATGCACACTGCTTTAGTAGTGTGCAACAAATTCTGATATGTTGTGTTTTCATTTTAGTTAAATTAAAATACTTCATTATTTCTTTTTTAATTTCTTCTTTGATCCATGGGTTATTCATAAGTATGTTATATTTAGTTATATATTTGTGGATTTTCCAGATTTCTTTTTGTTACTGATTTCTGAATTAAATCCATTGTAGTCAGAGAAAACACTTTGCATAATTTGAATCCTTTTAAGTTATTGAGACTTGACTTACTGCTCAAAAGATGGTCTGTCTTAGTAAATATTCTGTGTGCACTTGATGAAAATGTACATTCTACTCATTGTGCAGAGTGTTTATAAATGTCAATTAGGTCAAATTGGATGATAGTTTACCAGTGTATTTTTTATGGTTTTTCTGTTTTCCATCAGTTATCAAAGAGGAATATAAATATAGATTTGTCTATTTCTCCTTACATTTCTACCAATACTTGTTTCATGTATTTTTAAACTTCACTGTTATGTTCATGAACATTTAGGATTGTCATATCTTCCTCATTAATTTATACTTTTGTCATTATGAAATGGTCTTCTTTATACCTGACAATAATCATTGTTCAGAAAACTACTTTAATATAGCCACATGCTTTTTTTTTTCAACTAATGTTAGCATGGTACATCTTTT